GTTTCAGTACTGGTCTGTTTACATTGACCATAACTTGACAGAAGTAAGGAGGTCTGAATTTTTAGGGAAGATTTTGTTTACTGAGAGATGGCTGCTTTTAATGGATATGCTCTTTGAACCTGGAAAGCAGTTTTGGGCAACACCTCAGGGCCTGCTTCTTCATCTGTGGTAAAATAGCATCACTTCATTGACATCTGCAATTTTAAGTCTAAGATTCTTTTGAAAAAAATAACAAGCCTTGTCTTTCCTTGAATTCATTACCAGAGCCTATCTTTAAAATAAAGTGCTATATGGATGTGTGGAGGAGATGTTTAAAGGCACAAGTGAGATAAGACATCCAAGGCCTACTGGAAACTGTATACAGTTTTGCATGCATATTTTTGAAAGTAGTTTCTTTGCCCCTTGGGATGTAAATTCCTCTTGAATGTCACAGTTGAAAAGTTGAGACTGGTATGCAGGCCTGAAAAATATTAGCTGAGCCTCATTGCTGTAGCTAGGCAAAATATGGAATTTAAATGAAAACATCTGTTTGAAAAAATTCCTTATCCATCTTTAGAGTTCCTATGAAAAAAATCATTATTATTACTGAGTATAAGGAGAATAACTAATTGTGATGTTTGTGTGACATCATTTTTCCCCTAGGACACTTAAAAGTCACATATTTTCCCTGAAACACTTTAACTGTCACATACTTGTCTTAGTTCTGTGACGGTGTGCAACACAGATCACAAGTTTCTTCTTTTAGTTAGCTGGAAACAATACAAAATCTGACTGTTCTCACAGCATGTGAAACTTTCTCCTCTGGTCCCATCTGGTATCAGCACAGAAAATCACAGAAAGGAATGTATTTTATGCCACCCTAAAGATTCCTTCTGTGCCAGTTTTTCAATGTAAGATAGTATGAGTGGCAGCTTAAGTTAGCTACTTTGCCAGATGCTAAATCAAAAATTCTTAAATCCAATCCAAAACAAGATAGCGTGTCTCAGCATTAATTACCTCTAATTAGGTGAAAGTACCTGAAAACTTAGCTCTTCCTATTCATAAACAGTAGCAGAACATATCTTATTTTTTGCATTTGAGTAATGATGCATAATCTTCCTTTAATATTTTATTTATCCATGTAGCTAGAAAACATAATGCTTGATATTTGTTTCCTCTTCAATTTAATGCTTTCTAAACGTACTAGCAGTGAAGCACTGAACAGTTCTCCACATCCATGTGCATGTGCGCGTGCACAGGAAGAAAAGTTACTTCTCATGCACGCAAACAACCTCACATTCTCAGCACCATAGGTGAGATGTTCTGCTTTTGCATTACACTAATTTTATTTTCTTTCCATTTCTAGGCTGTCTCTGTCGTGGAAATTAGTTATGCAAATTGTCTCTCTTTGGTGCTTCTTTGCTTTCATTAGGTTAGGAAGAAACCATGACTGTCATTAAATAAAAAAAAAATCTGGTATAATGCTGTCTTGGACAATAAGAAGCAACACACTACAGAACTGTAGCTGAAGGCAAAAGGAACACCTTGGGGCCACCTTGGGTTTTAGAGGGTAATGTCAAACCTAGGCAATAGTTTTCTTACTTGAAAAAAGACACTTTCAAAGTGTAGAAGATATTTAGCATTAAGGAAAGCGAAGGACATTTGACACACAGATTTCACTGGATTTTTTTCTCCAACTTTAAAAAAAAAAAGAAAAATGAAACCACTATTATTCTTTGTGGTGCAATTCTAATACACAAACATGTGTAGACTGAGTTAAATCCCCAGGAACAGAGATATTTGAATAAAGTTTCTAGGGGTTTTTTACACCTAATTGTTCTTTTTCAATCTGCATTAGAAAGTACATAAAATTAACTATAGGTGTTGTCTAGTGTCAGCTGTGGAGTATTTAAACGTTAAGGATAGTTAAACTTACAAGGGAGACAGAGGTGAGACTAAAACAGCACTCTGCTCTCTAGTTAGTCTGGTGCCTCTACGTTGCAAAAACTGAGATTGCAGAGAAGGTACTTGATCTGCAAACTTCAGTAGCTCCCTGGTACTGCTCTTCTGCTCTGTTCTCCAAAGCAGAGACAAAAGCATTGGACCAGACCCCTGGTATGTTTTCCACAGACTTCTAAAGGAAAAGCAGCAGGGAACACCGAAGGTGACACCCTAATAGCCACACTAGTTGACGGGCAATTAACCCCACAAGCAGGTCAAATGACCGTGTACCATAGTTTTGCAATACCAAATTTTTGGAACCTCCCGAAAAGAAGAGATGTGAGACTGGCTGCAGCAAGTACGGCCGATTCCCCGGCTGCCTGCAGGTATCTGCCCCATGTTACCTTCCTCCAGGACCCAAGGGACAGCACAGCCTGTCCCTGCCGCCCCATCCCCTACCCAGCACTGCGACAGCTGCGCCGGGCAGCTCTCACCCCTTCCACCACCTCTCGCTGCCTCCCGGAGACAGGTGGCTACACGAGAGCGAAGGCAAGTCACCTGTCTGGAGGTGCTTTACAAGGTTTACGTACAGGTTTCCAAAGCCACCATGCGTGTTCCTGTGAGAATAATTGGTTTTGCCTGTTAGTCATTCCAGCCTGGGAACTGCTGAACAAACAATGGGAATTTAATTATCTGGAAGCAGATTCTGTGAGCAAAAACGTCATATTATTTTTTAATATACTTTCTCAGCTATAAAAAAAATCTTGGCCAACTTTCCTTTGTTGTTCAATGAAGTGTGGTAAGCTGCCTAATTTGACAAGAAAACCTCCAAGGCTTCTTTCTGCTGCATCCAGACTAATTTGACTGTTAATGTTCCATGAAAGAAATAAATCTTTAGAACACATTCTTGTATCACTTTTCAAGCCGAGTATTTCCATACCACAGAAAAATTGCTATTATCTCATATTTTTGTCCCACTATGGTAGGGAAGGTGGTCTCCTTACTAAAAACTTAATCACAAAAAAAAATTGATGATTATAAAGCTCCTTTGTACAAAATTAGAACATTGATTTTTCATTACAATGCGGAGCACTGCACATAATATATAGAGTAATAACTCTATTGAAACACAGATATACATATGCAAATGGTAAATAGTTAACAAGAACACAGGTTATTTGGAATGAATATAATTCATTAGAGCCTAGTTCTTTCACAGTTCACTTGCTCCTAACTTGATAAATACCTTGGATTGTCAATTTTTACCTTAAAGATTCTCTTTTTGTGACCATTTAAAGGTCAGAAATTTATTTAGAAAGGTGTATGCATATAAAAAAAAAAGAAAGAGGGACAGAGTAGGAAGTTAGACTTACTCAATCAGTTGTGTGAGCACCATTCATTTCCCCAGGTAAATCAAGTATCCTGAGGTCAGCTATTCACGCATCATGTAGAAACAATCAAAAAGTGCTAGACTTGTGCAGAAGTCATTATCTTGAATATTTTTATTACCAAAGATAATTGCATTAGAGCAGCTAGTTCTCAAGTACCAGACTCCATGGCCTGAATCTCACAGCTCTGCTGCACATAGCAGAGCCACTGAAAGGCTGTGAACACCTCTGACTGTTCAGGATTGATTTGGTGCTGCAAGATGAATGTAGGAGCACTGCATTTATCAACCTGATATCAAAAATATTTGACATACATGACCATATTAACAATAAAGGATGTGGAACTTATGCAGAGGGCTGAATCTCTACAGCATTTCCAGAGGAACTGTACTGCCAGCTACAAGAGTAAATCTCATTATTTATACTGGTGTGCATAAAGGATTTTTGGCCCAGTAGGACCAAACCAGATTGTGTTTCTGAAAAAAATTTGCCATGCAATGAAGGCACCCGCCTTAGTCACGATTTTGTATAAAGAACAAAGTTACCAGGAAGATGTCTGGTGACCAGATCTGTTCCCAGTGAAGATAATGAGAGCATTCCTCCAAACTTCAGCAGTAGCAGAAGTGGAGGCAGTAATATATAACAATTAGGAAGACAAAAGACTACAGACTGAAAGTTAGGCTTAGTTTTACCATAAACTTACCTTCAGCAAGCTGGTAACTTGTGTAGCTGTGCCTCGGCATCTCCATCTTCACAGAAAAACAGAGAAATTTACTGAATTCATAGGACTGTATTAAAGAAAATGTATCATCATCAATAAAATGGGAAATTTTCCAATCAAGTGCCATTAAAGCATCCAGTATATTTAATCTTAATTTCCTTTGTATCAATCCAGTTAGTCCATGTACTAATGCACTAGTTTCTAATTCATCAAATATTTATTTTAGTCTGCTTACAAATTGTCCAGGAAAACAAGTACAGCACTATTTTTAAGTAGGTCCATTTGTCCCCTTTACTGAAAATGGAATGCAATTATCTCCCCCCATGTAATGAATGTGGTACTGTTTTTCATCAGTTTTCTAACAAGCAAAGTATTTGAAGTTTTCTAGCCTTTTGTTCAAAACACACTCTGGAAATGCATATTACATTATTCACAATAAATAAATATATTGGAAAATCACACATAGAAAACATTACACATAGGTGATTAAACACGTGCTAAAAATATACTAACAATTCTCCTTAAATCCCAATATTTTTAAATGCCAAAATGCTTTACCATACATAGACACAATAAAATCACTTTGGTGTGTAGGCAGATCATGCTTAAATTGGTTTTCCACAGCACAGACAAATGTTACAGCTATATTAGTTGAGGACAATATTGATTATAGCTCTGGCATTATTCTGCAGAAACCTAAACAACGTTCTTCACTGTAAAAGTATGACAAATCAAGTTGTCAAACTACATCATTCAGAAGCAGTCACTGCTGGGGCAGAAGTTTCTGGCATAACTCATTGTTACAACCAAATGTTGCTTAATATAACCTTACATATTCTAAAGAGAAAACCCAGAACTTTCCTTATCCAGAATCAGCTGGTACAACACTATCTCCTGGCTCCCCAAAAGTGCGTATTAGTAGCTGCTGGTGTACAGCAGACATGGTGCCAAAAGCTGACCATCAGCCAGGTCCTTTTCATTTGAGCTTATTTTCAGGAGGTTCTCGCTTGTTGATAATAAACTCGCTTTAGTTCGAACTACTAGAATTTCTGAAATATTCCAGAAACATCTGTGTAGGTAAGTCTAGTTCAAACCGCAGTGGTAATCTGCGTCAGTCCTAGGTCGTTGGACTCTTCTCTCCCTTGAGGACAGTAAGATGACATTTCCACGACTAGTCATACAGGTTTGTTTGTCCCATCTGCTTCCCCAATATAAGCCGGGTCTTGTACAGTGTTTCTGACTCTGCTGGTGCTCTGCCTGTCCATCCTCATCTTAAAGGGGAAGCAGAAGTCCTTGAAACATCTCTTGAAATTTTCATCCAAAAAAGCATACAGGATTGGATTGAGGCTGCTGTTGGTGTAACCCAAAGCAATACAGAAGTAATAGCTGGATATAGCAGCAGTACTGTGGGACACATCCCCTAACGCTTCAACCAGCACAAAGATGTGAATAGGAGTCCAACAGATAACAAAAACTGCCACAACCACAAGAACCAACCTGGTGATGCGGCGCAGGTTTCGATCTTTTTCTCGAGACCCTGAGAGAAGCCGTACGCTTTTAAGGCGCAGGATCATCAGAGTATAGCAAACAATTATAATGAGAACTGGGATAACAAATGCAAAGACAAAGACACAGATTTTCATGAAGATGTCCCACCACACGTAGTCTCTGTCTGGAAACTGCAAGGAGCATTCAGTGCTAGCAGTATCTAGGAATGAAAGAAGCAAGAAGAAAATTGCTTTATTAGATATTCTAAACAAAGTAATTATCATAGCATAAGCTAGGAAAAGTTATTATCATGTAATGTGATACTAACAAATGGAGTTATCTTTAAATCACTCCAAGGAAGGCTTTCAATTACCATTGAAACTGGTTTTATGTAGCTGTCTCTAGAAACTACTTAAAGAGATAGGGGCTTTTTAAAATGCATAACACTGTATAAAATTTGTTTCCCATGGGAGGATCTAAAAATGCAGAGTACAAAACCAAAAATTTTTAAAGACATTTCCATTTGAATCTCACTGAGATTTAAAGCCAGAATAAGTACCCTGTTCAATAGAGTAAAATCTCATCATTATTATCAAACTACATATGTTTTTGTCTGTGGGCAGAGACAGATTTTTGGTATCATGAATGGTGGGAGCCGAATGAGGTTTTGATCGTAGGAAGATTTTGCCAATAGATGATAATTGTGTAATAATCTTTTCCCACATGCCTTCTTCAGTGCAAATGGAATACACATAAGTGCTTGCATTCAGAAAAAACTTATTTCCTGGCAACAGCTTCTTTTCAGTTTAATAGAAGCAAATAAAATATTTATGTGCGCAGAGTCAAATGGAAGCTGCTTTTTTTACAGATCACGTCATTGAAAATTCAGCCTGTGCAGAGACTGCAGGATCTGGGCCACTGACACCAGCCCACTCCCTTTCTGATTGCCCATGTCAGGATTCAGAGTCACAGGCTGTCACTTGATTTTATGTCCCAGAAATACTCCATGTGACAGGAGGCTGCTAAGGAATGAAATATTTGAGGTTTCATTTGCTGACCTCACTGGAGCCTTCCAGCATATAAACCATATGGAAAACCAAGAAGCAAGATAAATGGCAAGGCAAGAGAAAAGATGAATTTACAACTACTATCAGCAGTTAAACTCTACTGAAGACAAGTCAAGGTAACACAGGGATTTTTCACTCTGAATTGTAGCTTAGATTTTATCCTCTTGAGCACTGCATTACGCTTGGATTTTTTTCATTTTCACTACTGAATTTGTCATTCCTTTACAAGTTATTATGTATTGACTTTTATTGAATCAGACCTAAGAGGGGAATGATTCAATATACTCTTGCACATCACTTTTTCATATCTGTCTCTAGCAGAACTAGTCAGAAAAATTCCATCAAGCCATATTTCCCTGCTATTGAAATGCTTCACAAATCAAGATGATATTGCAGAGAATTTGTTTTGAAAAACAGCTAGGGGGGAAGTTGTCATTATGGCATCATACAGACATTTCCACGGTTAAGTATCAGAAAGCTGTTACTGGGTGATATTGAATACTAAAACACTCAAATAAAAAAAGTTGAAATCAAAGCTAAATATTTTGAGGTTTTATTTTAAACAACATAACAACTAATGGATGATTCTGAAAGCTGAAAAGTGAAAAGACCTATTTTTCAAGCCTGATGGAGGATGCTAAGCTAGCAGCACAAGTATGACTTAGGGTCTTGACAGTCAGTCAACTTTTCTAAATCCTTTGTCATCTAGGTTTCCATAAGTGTAGTTGCTTTTACTTAATTTTGTTCTAGAAATGTCAACAACCACCTTCAAAGCAGTTTTCACATTGATTATTACTGTTATTTGTAGTAGATCATGGCCTAACAGCAGCAATAAAATCAGGATGCGGCTATAATACCTAGACTAGTAAAGCTGCATCCAGATGTGCAGTTCTGGATAGAAGTGGAGTGTGATCAGGGATGATTACTCTGGACCACATCCAGCTACTCACTGAAACTCCATCCCAGAGGAAACTGCCTCTTCAGATCTGCTGACCTAATTTCGTATATTTATCAAAATAATTAGGTCATGCTTGCTACATTTTAATATGATTTGTAGTTGGCAGTGGTATTTTAGAATTCCAAATTATCAAAAACAAATTTAATGATTGTCTTACATCTCATTACAGTTTACTTTCTATGGAAAATCTTACTCTAAATTCATTAATATTCACGTGTTTCCCTTGATATATAGATAATGTTATGAATTGTATCAAACCCATTTACATTTTCCCCATTTACAGCTGGCAAGCAATCAGCAAAGATCCTTGTCATAATGCACAATATCATAATAAATTTCAGAAACTTTGGAAGAAAATAAAATCCAATTTATATTTTATTCTTTTTGCCTGAAAAGATGCAGAACTAAGTACAGCATCACAAACCGAGTACTTAAGATTTCACTCTTACCTTTCCACTCTGAAAGCCAAATATTCCAAATATATTGATATATTTAAGGAAAAATACTGCATTCTAGATGGTATTTTAGTGTAAATAAATTCAAAAATGTGTTTGATAAGCTACCATTTAAGATAAATCTTCATCTTGACATAGGAAATATATTTCTGTTGGATACATTATTAATTATGTCACCTTCAGGCATCCATACTCCTGTGTACTCAGCTGGAGTCTTCATGCTATTTCTGGGAATACTGATAGTACCTCTAATTTATTTTTTTATTTTTTTTTAGTGAAAAATTCTTCAGCAAGAAAGACTCCACTAAGGCCAGAGAGGGAATATTTACACAGATGTAAAATTTATTCTGCAGGGAACATGTATCCAGAAGGACACCACTGGGAGCAATTCTGTAGTGTGAGAACAAAAGGGACTAACCGGGCATGGGGTGGGAACTTTAAATATGATCACTTCCCATTTGATGTTCAGTTGTTGTTTAAATCTGAATCCAACAGAGGCCCTGTAGCATATAAACAACAACTATTTTGACCAATATAACACAATTTTCAGTCCTGAGCTCCAGCTGTCAGGCAAAGGGAGGATCCTTGCTTTTCCCCTTCAGCATTTATCAGCACAATTCATGAACACACCAGACAAGATAATTGGCAGTAAATGCTCAAGAGACACCCTAGATCAGACAAGCAGGGCTGAACAGTAGGGGCTGACAGGCATTTGCCAATAATTTCCAACTTCGTTTGGCCCAGCTGAGTCATGTATTACTAGCCTCTGTTCCAGGAGAGAAAAAAAAGACTGCCTGCCACGTGGCGCGGAAAAGGCATTTAATCATTGCTGGCCTCACAGCAGCCGCTTGATCTAAATGTGATGCTTACAGGGAATGAAAGTAATATTCTGCTAGTTAAGCATGCTCCAACAAAACACGTGACTGAGGCAATGTCCCATGGCCTTCAAGATCTCATACACAGTGAAACAATCACTCTTCCCAAATGAAGAAGAATGCCTCGAAGTGTATGTTTCTGGAGCTAGACATTGTTTTATAGGGCCTGTCAAAACTTTACTGGGGAGAAGAGTTACAGCACTGCAGACCAGGTCACTTATCTCCCAAAGGGCTGAAAGAAGAGTTTCCAGAGGACTCTCCTGTCACCTACCCACCAGAACACGAACAGCAAGAACAAAATCTATACATCTGCAGCCAAATCAATCAGCCCTTGAGCACCTGCTACTGAAATGTTTTGTTTGTTTTGATCTATGCCAAACAGTTTAATACACAGCTTTTATTGTCTCTGCCAGATAAAACAGGGTCCTTATGTAAAGTTTACCATTTCTCCTGGGAGGAGTGAAGCCTTTCTAAGAGAAAAGGTTGTTAATTCAGGAACTTAGTAATCATTCTTCCAAAGACTGTTTACATCTCAGACAAGACTACCACCAAATAAACATGCATGTCTTGTATTTTATCGAGCCATCCATAACAGACGGCCCCAACACAAGGGCATCATTAGAGGCCTCCAGCCTTTTGAAGACACTGAGGTGCTCTTGCACCACAGTCATGCTTGTGGGTCTGAAGTATATGTGTGTGAGAATGCTTCTCCCCTTTCCTTCTCAAGAAGGATTTCAAAATAAGATTAACTCCATAGCAGGGCAGTTTTGGTAATGCATCACTAGTCATAAGGGCTAAATCTGCAGTCCTTCACAGATTATAAATTTCAAGCAGAGCCTACAGGTGGTCTCCATACAGATCTCATCGACTTCATGTTCTTATAGTTGCTTCCCTGCCATGGTCTGCATTCCCAGTTACTCTGCTGATCCTTATTTTCAGCCTTTCCAAGTCTGCATGTACATCCCCATCCCTTCTAAATAAGAATTTGAGATACTGTCATTTTCATAGAATTTAGATTCAGTTTCTTTCTCCAGCTACTGACTTTTTTCTTTTCTTCTTTGTCATTTGAGAAACAAAAAGAGACTCAATTTTGAATGCTCACACTCACCTTCCCTGACTTTGGTACCTCCAAGAACTATCGCAGATATACCAACAGATGAGGACAGTAGCCAGATACAGATGTTGATTATCTTTGCCTTGAGAGGCGTACGGAAGTCCAGAGCCTTCACAGGGTGACACACAGCAATGTATCTATCAACGCTCATCATGGTCAGTGTGAATATGCTGGTAAACATGTTATAATAGTCAATGGAAATAACTATTTTACACAGCACATCACCAAAGGGCCAAGAGTTCATCAGGTACTCAGTGCTTTGGAAAGGCATGGTTGTGGTAACTAGCGCATCTGCCATAGCCAGATTGAAAATGTAGATGTTTGTTGCTGTCTTCATCTTTGTGTACCTGAAGAACAAAAAAAGTAAGGCATTAGCATTTCAAAATATGATTATGCACATTCAGATATGAAACAGTTTATCAGTCAGGCTTTGCCATAGTTGGGTTTTTTTCTGTCATTTCTGATTTATGACAGAAGTGCACACAAATGCAAGACCCTTGAGATAAAAGTAAACACATTTGACTCAGTCTCTCAGCACTTGCACTAGCAGTTAGAACTATTCACCGCAGGCAAAAACAGGTATATGAATACATTTAACCTAATGAAACATGCCTGTTTCAATTCTATCTTCTCAAATACTTCT